AAGGCATGGCCTGGATGAGGATCCAGCAAAGGAGACTGAGGATGGGTGGTCAGATGGGTAGAAGGAGAATCAGGAAAGAGTATTGTCAAGAAAACCTAGAAAGAAAAGGGTATCAAGGAGAAGAGGATGGATGACAATGTCAATAGTTGCAGAGAAGTCAAGAAGGATGAGGATTGAGAAACGGTCATTAGATTTGGCAATTAAAAGATCACTGGTGACTTTGGAGGGCATAGTTGCAATTGAATGGTGAGGTCAGAAGCCAGTGTATAGAGAAAAGAGTATTAAGAAAAGAGAGAGGAGAGTAAGTGGAAGAACCTATTGTAGATGGTACTGTAATGAGTTCTGCCACAAAAGGAATGAGAGATATGGGACAATAATAGGGATGGATGAATCACATAAGAGTTTTTAAAGGATGGGGGAGACCTGTTCGTGTTTATAGACAGTAGGGAATACCGAAGATAAGTGAAAGAATGGGGATGATAGAGAAAGCAATCTATTGGAAAAAGGGATGGAATGGGATCATTTGTGAAGCTAGAAGGGTTTGACTTGACAAGGAGAAGGGCCACCTCTTTTTGTGATGGGGTGAAGAAGGAGGTAGTGGACAAGACTTCTGAGTGATATGAGATAAAGAAGGGGGAAGAGGGAGGAAGCTCTTGGCAAATGTTCTCAATTTTTTCAGTGAAATATGATGCAACATTATCAGCTAAGTAGGTGGTGGGGATGGGGAGCCATGGAAAGTTTGAGAATTGGTGAAAAGGTTTGGAATAGCTGCTGTGGTGAGTGGATGGGACAGTAGGTTAATTAGGGAGGAGTAAAAGAATTGCTTTATAGCAGTGAGGGACCAGTTGAGCTTATGTAACATGAATTTTTAGTGGTCCCAGTCAGTTTCTTGGTTTTCTCCAGCTTCATCCAGTATATATGTAGGAGGCATGGTAGTGGATGCTGGAAGTGACAAGGATGAGGCCTAGTAGGACAATCTCAGTGACAGAATGAGAGGTCATGGGACTCCAGAAGAAGAAAGTGTGGAGTTGAACTGGCCCACCAAGGGGGACAGATGGGGAAAGGAGGAGAAGGTAGCTAGTGCAAAGTGATAGCTTAGTAAAGAATTGAGGACTCAAGGGATTGGAGGTCATGGAGTGTCCAGAGAATAGGGTTTGAGGTTGCAAGGCAGATGAAGAGGAGGAATGATAACAGATTGAGGTCACATAAGGGAATTTCTGATGTATTTGTAGGTGACGGCAAAATCAAAGATATGATCACCTCTGTGTGTAGCTGATGTGGCCTGGAGGTACTCATCATGTGAAATGACTTGTATCAGAACTGATATATTAGGGAGCTTGAGGAAGTATCAATATGTAAGTCTCCTAGCATTAGGGCAGGAATTGAGGAGGAGAGAAGACTGAGCCAGGCACTGAACTCATTGAAGAAAGAGGATGGTAGAGGGGAGGTGGGGCATCCTGGAGATCAACAGATAAAAGCTATCCAAATTCTGACTGGGTGGTAGATACGGATTGAATCAGCCTCAAAGGAAGAGAGGTTACTGCATGATGGGGATATGGAAAGAACCTAGAATTGGCAACGGGGAGCAATCAGTATTCCAACTCTCCCACCTTGACTAATGAAATCAGGGGGAATGAATGAAAGTGTAGTCAATTCTGGAATGAGTAGCCAAGGAGGCTGTGTCATCAGGAGGGAACCAAGTCTCAGTGAGGGCCAGAAGAAGAAAGAAGAGAGGAAAAGATTTAAGATGAAAGCAATTTTTCTCCCTCTACGGAGCAAGTATTCCAGCAAGCATAGTAGAAGCTGGGAGCTTTGGAGTGAGACTGGGGTAGGGGTCAGCTGAGGGGCAGGGAAATAAGGGATCAGAGAAGAGAGTTTGAATGATGACAACCAGGGGTTCAGAATCACTGGGATGGGGAGAATATGACCAGGGAGGAGTAATCATGGAAGAACGAGTTTAGATTTTCATTGTCCGTAAGGGTTTGGCCTCAAGGCGGAGCCTCCCTAGACCTCAGGCAGCTCAGAGGAGGAAACACAGGCTTGGAGCTGAAGGAATGGAGTCATTCCTCTTTCCCCAGGCTGGACACGTCTTCTGGTAAGTTAGTCTAGCCAGGCTAGTCCCATCCTTCTGTCAATGGCTCTCTTTAGTAGTTGGCAGGTGCCCCTCCCAAAGTGAAGAAGCCAATGAGAGAGAAAGAATGTTAGAGACGGACACAGAGAAACAAACAGAGACAGAAATTTGTGGCCAATTTTTTCTGATCTAGCTCAAAATTTTTTAAATTAGTTTTTTGTTACATTTTAAGTTCTGAACTATTTCCCTCCCTCTCTCCCCACATCTCAACCATCTTTTAAAAATTCAATTTCATTTTTAGTTCCAAATTCTCTCCCCTTCCCCACCCAGTGAGAAAGCAAGAAAAGTAAAACCTATTACAAATATGTAATCAAGTAAAACAAATTCCTGCTCTGATGCAGGATGTAGCTTCCTCTAGCATTTCAGTCATCATCACAGCATAAGGGAACAAGGACAACCCAAGGATTGCTGTCATTCTGAAGCAATGAACCCTTTCAATGTTGAAGACTCCCCAGAAGTAATCAAAGGAGCTCATGGAATGCCTCCCGCAGGTCCATCCCTACCCATGCTCCATGTGGTATACTGTAATCTAGATCCTGCTACATTTATTGAAAAGTTCCCCTTGGTTTCTGGTCTTAGGCTTTTGTTTTAAATCTTTAACAACTGAATTTATCCAGGGCTGGTGATCTGGAAAAGAGGAGGCAAGTGGTAAAGGATAGAAGGGTCCTTGAATGCAGGTCTCGATCCAAAACCATCTAGTACAGAAGGGGGCTGTCTACAAGAAGGCTGAATGAGAGGTCAGTCAATAAACATTTATTTACTGCCTACTATGTACCAAGCACTGTGCTATGCACTGAATATATATATAAACAACAAAAGACAGTCCCTGCCTTCAAGAAACTCACAGTCTAATGGAGGAGACCAGGAGCAAACAATATATACAAATAAGCTACATACAAGATAAAAAGGAAATAATTAAAAGAGGGAAGGCCCTAGAATTGAGAAATTGGGGGGAAAGGCTTCCTGTAGAAGGTGAGATTTTTAGTTGGGACTTCAAGGAAGCCAGGGAAGTCAGTAGGTGGCAATAAGGAGGGAGAACATTCTAGGTATGGGGGAAAGCAAGAAAAATGCCCAGAGCAGGGAGATGGAATGAATACTTTGCGCATGGAATAGCAAGGAAGCCAGTCTCACTGGATTAATGAGTGGGAGCTGGGGAAGCAGACTATAAGATATAAGAAGACTGGAAAGGTGTGGAGGGGCGAAGACAGATTATGAAAGGCTTTGAATGCCAAAGGATTTTGTATTTGATCCTGGAGGCAACAGGAAGCCACTGGAGTTTATTGAGTAGGACAGTGACACGGTTGAACCTGCAGGAAAATTACTTTGGTGGCTGAATGGAGGATAGACTGAAGTGGGGAGAAACTTGTGGCACGCAGACTCATTATTGGGGTATTGCAATAATCCAGGTGTGAAGGTGATGAAGGCCTGCACTAGAATGGTGAGTGACAGAGGAGAGGAAGGGGCATATTTGAAAGATGTTGCAAAGGTGAAATTGCCAGCCTTTGTCAACAGATTGTATATGGGGGTGTGTGAAAGACGGTAAGGAGTTGAGGATGACACCTAGGTTGTGAGGCTGAGGGACTAGAAAGATGCTGGCATCCTCAAAAGTAATATGGAAAAGTTTGGAAGGGGGAAGTGTTTAGGAGGAAATATGATTCAAGATGTCTATTGGACATCCAGCTGAAGATGTCTGAAAGGCAACTACAGATGCAAGATGGGAGGTCAGCAGAGAGGTTAGGGCCAGATAGGTAGATTTGAGAATCATCAGCATAGACATGATAAGTGAATGGGAGGTAAAGAGATCATGAAATGAAGCCATATAAAGGGAGAGAAGAAGAGAATCCAGGACAGAGCCCTGTGAGATACCCAAAGCAAATGGGTATGACCTGGATGAAGATCCAACAAAGGAGACCGAGAAGTGGTCAGATAGGTAGGAGAAGTAGGAGAGAGTGGTGTCCCAAAAATCTAGAGAGAACAGAATATTCAAAGAGGAGACGGTGATCAACAGTGTCAGAGGCTACAGAGAGGTCAAGAAGCATGAAGATTGAAAAAAAAGTCATTGGGTTGGGTAAATAGGAGATTACTGGTAACTGGAGGGAACAGTTTTAATAGAATTATGAGATCAGAAGCTGTATTGTAGTGGGGTTAAGAATCGAGTGAGAGGAAAGGAAATGGAGGCATCTATTGTAGATAGTCTTCTCAAGGAGTTTTTCCACAAAGAGATACGAGATGCTAGCAGGGATGGAAGGATCATATCAGGGATTTTTGAGCATGGGAGAGACATGGGCATGCTTTGAAGTAGTAGACAATGAGCCATTAGAGAGGGAAAGATTGAAAATAAGTGATAGAGTGAGGATGACAGAGGGGGCAATCTGTTGGGGAAGATGGGATGAAATAGGATCCTTGTGCATCTTGAAAGGTTAGTCTTGGTAAGGAGTAAGGCCTCCTCTTCACGTGAAGGATGAAGGAAGACATAGTGGCAGAAGGCAGCTGAGTGATGTAAAAGGAGGAAGAAGGGAGAAGATGGTGCTCTTGGCAAATGGCCTCAATTTTATCTGCAAAATAGCGAAGAAAGTTCTCAGCTGAAAGAGTTGGGATAGGTGGAAGGAGGGAAACCATGCGAGGTTAGAGGAAGGATAAGATTTGGAAAAGCTGTTGTGGAGAGTGGGATAGTGAGTTAATAAGAAAGGTGAGGTTGTGTAATATAAAATTGATGGTGGACCCAGTCAGAATGGTTACATAGTATTCTCTATCTTTGTTCACAACATAAGTAGGAGTGACAAGTAACAAGCAATACTGATGCTGGTGAAAAAAGGTAACATTTTGACTCCAAAATATTTAATAAGAAATTTTACGAAGCTTTCCCTCCATTTTTAGACATCTGTGTGAGCTCCAGCATTATCATGATCAAGTTTCACTGATGACAATAGTTAACATTTATATAGTACTTACTATGTGCCAGGCACTGTGCTAAGCACTTTACAAATGGTATCTCATTTGATCCTCTATTACCTAATATTCTGTAAGGTATTTCCTCTAATTGAAGGTTTTCCCAAATGTAACACATTTAAAAAAAGTTCTCTCCAGTATGAATTTTCTTAGGAGCAAAGGCTTTCCCACATGCATTATAAAGGTAATCTTTCCAGTACAACTCTTCTTATGAACCTTAAGGTTTCTACTTTTTTTGAAAGTTTGCCAATATTAATTACACTGAAAATATTTTTTCCATATGAAAACTCTGATTTACAGTAACTTTTACTTCTTCCAGAAGGCTTTTTCTATACATTTTACCTATTTAAAGGGTTTCTTATCAATTAATGTCCCCATGCAATTTGAAATCTTTCCCACTTAGTACACAGGAAAGATTACTGCCAAGCATGAGTTTTCTTATGTGTATTAAGAGTTCCCTTCTGGCTGAAAGATTTCCCACATTGACCACATTCAAAAGGTTTCTCTCCAGTATGAATTCTCTGATGTTGTATAAGGTAAGAGTTATGTGTGAAGCCTTTCCCACATTCATTACATTCATAGTGTTTTTCTCCGGTATGAGTTTTCTTATGTGTATTAAGGGTCCCTTTTTGCCTGAAAGATTTCCCACATTCATTACATTCATAGGGTTTCTCTCCACTATCAATTCTCTGATGTTGCATAAGGTACGTACTATGCCTAAAGCTTTTCCCACATTCATTACATTTAAAGTGTTTTTCTCCAGGGTGAATTTTATAATGTTTCTTAAGGGATGAGCTGTGTGAGAAGGTTTCACCACATTCTTTACATTCAAAGGATTTCCCTTGCATATGCATTTTATTAAGAGTCATAAAGTTTAATTGACAGTTATAGGCTTTCCCACCTTCTTTATGTTCAAAGGGTTTCTTTGAAGCATGAGTTTTTTGGTGTGTATTAAGATGCCCCTTCTGGCTGAAGGCTTTCCCACACTGATCACATTCATATGGTTTCTCTCCAGTATGAATTCTCTGATGTTGCATAAGATATGAGCTATGTGTAAAGCTTTTTCCACATTCATTACATTCAAAGTGTATCTTTCCAGTATGAATTGTCTTATGTTCCTTAAGATGAACACGCCATTTGAAAGCTGTCCCACATTCATTACACTGAAAAGGCTTCTCTCCAGTATGAATTCTGTTATGTGCATGAAGGCTTCCCTTTTGGCTGAAGGCTTTTCCACATTCATCACATTTATAAGGTTTCTCTCCAGTATGAAATCTATTATGGGCATTAAGGCTTTCTTTACGGCTAAAGGCTTTCCCACACTCACTGCATTTGTAGGGTTTCTCTCCTGTGTGAATTCTCTGATGCTGTATAAGAGATGAACTCTGCCTAAATCCTTTCTTACATACATGACATTCAAAGTGTTTCTCTCCAGTGTGAATTGTTTGGTGTTGAGTTAGGTATTGATTACTTCTGAAGGCTTTTCCACATTCATCACATTCAAATGGTTTCTCTCCAGTATGAATTATCATGTGTATTTTAAGGTTTCCCTTTTGGCTGAAGGCCTTACCACATTCACTACACTTAAAAGGTTTCTTCCCATTATGAATTGTTTGATGTTGAGTTAGATATTGATTACTGCTAAAGCCTTTTTCACATTCATTACACTTATAAGGTTTATTTGCCTTATGAATCATTTGATGTTGAGTTAGGTATTTATTACTGCTGAAGGCTTTTCCACATTTATTACATTTGAATAATTTTTTGCCATTATGAATTATCTTACGTGTTTTAAGATGTCCCTTCTTGCTAAAGATTTTTCTACACTGAATAGATCTACAGGATTTCTCTAAAACATTAATTCTTTTATGCAGATTAAAGAATAAATTGATCCTGAAGGTTTTGCCAAATTCATTACATTTACAAAGTTTCCTTTGAATATGTATTTTATGGTAATGATTCAAGTGTGAGTAGTAACTAAAACGCTTCCTGCATTTATTATACTTATGGAGTTTCTTCCATAAGGAGATTCTCTTATGGTTAATTGGGTATGAACATTGTTTGAAGCTCTTTCCAAATGTACCAACATTGTGGAGACAGTCTCCTTTAAGACCTTCTTGCTGTGGAACAAGGATGGATCCCATTCTGAACTTTTTCCCAAATGTATTATATTTATGCACACTCGCTTTGTTAAACATTTTTCTGTTACTGACTGTTACTTGTCTAGACTGTCTTTTCTGGTTATCCTTCTGCCTCTCCAGCCTGATATCACAATCCCAAGAACGATCCTTGGTTTGTTCCTTTAGTGATTCTCCTATAGAAATAACCTGTTTTGGAGTTGATTGCTTGGTTTTGTACCTTTTCTTCTGAATCAAGGAATCTGAAAGAAAAAAAAAAGCCAATAGCCATTGTTCTTTCTATGAGAAAGAAAACTTCCTTTACTGATAATAGCTAACAATTATAAAGTGTCTATGTGCCAGTCACTGTGCTAAGCACTTTACAATTATTACTAATTTGATTTTCACAGCAATCTTGGGAGGGAGGTGCTACTATTAGCCCAATTTTACAGATGAGGAAACTGAGGCAAGCAGAGGTTTAAGTGACTTGCCCAGGGTCACACAACTACTAAGCATGTAAGGCTAGATCTGAACTCAGGTTTTCTTGATTCCACGTCCAACATTCTATTCACTGTGGCACCTTATGATAAGATTTCTGAACTGGGATACAAGAGATTTAATAACTGAATATCTACTTTAGTACCTGGATATTCAGTTTTTGGAAAGCCATTTTGTCTCTTGACATGTCTGTAGACAAGATGGAGAATTGTGGATTGGCTGATAATATAGCCTAGCATACTTTGAGCCAGTTAAATTCTCTTACAAAAAAAATAATACAGAGTTTAATAAACTTTTACAAGTTTTTCTAATTTTATGCCTTAGAATTTTGTACTTGACTTTATTCTTCTCAACCTTATTAATGAAACTTGATGAAATCACATAAATAAATGATCATGTTCTCTGATGACACAAAGATATATGGAATATGTACTATATTAGATGTCTAAATTAAATTTCTAAAAAAACATCTCAACATGCTGGAAGAATAGTCCAATGTGAAATTCAAAAGCATAAATGTAAAGACTTGAACTTAAGTTCGGGAGACTGAATATCAGACTGAAGACATCTGGTATGGTGGCAGGTCATGTTCAAAAGGCCTAGAAATTTTACTTGATCCCAAACTTAATATAAACCAACAGTACGTAGTGAAAACTAAAAAGTCAAATACATTTTAGGGTACAATAAGAGATACACAGGGTCTATACTAATGCTACTATTGTACCCTGCCCTACTCAGACAAACTGTCAGTTTTTTGTTTAGTTCTGGAAAGCACATTTTGTTTAGTTCTGGAAAGCACAAAACATTGACAAACTGTATGTCTAGAAAACCAGGCAATGGCAGGAGGGGCCTATTTAGGAGTAGATGAATCATCTAGCCTAACAAAAAGCCACATGAAATATAAAGCCTCATTCTAGAAGCCCTCTGGGAGGCCTTGGCAACATGCAACTCCTCAGAACAGTTTACTGTGAAAGTTGTTTGCAAGGATACCAACAAGAAAGATAAAGAAGTCAAGACTTAAGATTGTCCCTCCTACAAGTATAGAATTCACTAAGAATTCTGCAGGGAACTCATATAGTATGTGGTTTTCTTGTGGCATAGCCAGGTAGCTACAACTCATGCTCAAAGTAAAGTTGGGTTTCTTTCCTAGAAAAGGTCCAAGGGTTTAAGGATTACCTATACATTTATAGGTTAGTGGAAAATAAGAATTCCCTTGAAAAAATGGAAAGAGAGTTTCAAGGTAAAAACACAAAAACAACCTGAAGAAGTAATACAGAATCTTCACCTGTGTCAAGAGGTTTGAGAGAAAAGGATGAAGGACAATGGTAATAGATATGAGGCTCTTCTAGTATCATGGGGAGTTGTAACAGCCTCTGAAGATGGCATGGCTTCTTACGCTATGAGGAGTGATGATGCAGTCCTGCATTCATTCAGTAAACAACAGGGGGCTAGGAGAGAAGTAATGGTTGCTGGAGGTTCCCTAGCGAGGTGGTAATGAGACGGCTATCTGCCAATGACATTAATAATAGAGAAGCTTACTATATCAGATTGCTTGCCATCTTGGGGAGGGGTCAGGAGAGGAAAGGAGGGAGAAAAATTCTGGAACTCATAATCTTACAAATGAATGTTGAAAACCAGCTTTACAAGTAATTGGAAAAAATAAAATACTATTAAGTGGGGGGAAAAAAAAGAAAAACAAATCAATAGAGAGGTTTATTGCATCACCAGGGCAAGCACCTGAGTAGTCACAGCTGACCTTGGCACATGTCAAGATACATGATTACTATCTACTACTGGTGATTCATATGGAGAAAGATGGCACTTCCCAATAGGAACCAAGAAATTATTATTAGGGATTATGAAGTTCTGGGAAAAAAAGACCGAAGAACCAAGGGGCACTGGTAGTGTTTCGATTGGTGCTGCTAATAGAAAGCAAAGAAGTAAGTTTGGAAAGTAAGTTTGGAAAATGACAATGTGAAATTGGGCTCTGTTTGAAACCTGTTAATTGAGAGTAAGCACCTGGTTAAGAAGAAAGGATTTAGAAAAGGTTTTGAATTTATTGACCACAGGATCTTGGCCAGGGATGAAATACCTAACAAGACCCAGGAGAACATATTTTTCTCACACCAAAAAATAAATGAGAAGAGAACATGACCAGTCTTCAGAGCAGCTACTGTAAACCTTCTCACCCCCCCGAAACTTCCCAAGGAACATCCCATCTGCCTGTCCATCAAGACTTTTGCTGCCTCTTCTCCCCTCCTCCTGATCTCACATCACCCAGAGGTGTTCTCCCACTATCTCCCCCTTCTCCCCTGTCTCACACAGTGGTGGCCCTTCTCCTTACCAAGTCCAACCTTCTGTGGCTCCCTTTGACCCTCTCCCCTGCCATCTTCTCCAGCAGACTGCCCCTGTCATCCCTTCTCCCTCTTTAATTTTCAGTCTTTCCCTAACTACTGACTCCTTCCCTGTTGTCAAACAAACAATCCCACTTTTCCTTTATCCCTAAAAAACCCTCACTTGATTCAACCACCTATATTGGCTCTTCTCTTGCTTCAGAGGCAGTTAGGTGGTACATTGGATAGAGCACTAAGCCTAGAGTTAGGAAGACCTGAGTTCAAATTCCGACTCAGATACTTTACTAGCTGGGAAAATCTCTTAACCACTGTCTGCCTCAATTTCAACTGTGCGACAGGGATAATAATAATAGTGCCTACCTCCCAGGGTTGTTGTGGGGATCAAATGAGAAACTGGTAAAACACTTAGCATAATAGTTGGCACATAGCAGGTGCTTAACAAATGCCTGTTTCTTTCTTTTCGTAGCTTAACTCTTTGAGAAAGCCATTTACAACTCCTCTCACCCTCTTCTATTGTTGTTGTTCAGTCATTTCCAGTTGTGTCCATCTCTTTGTGACCTCATTTGGGGTTTTCTTGGCAAAGGTACTGGAGTGGTTTGCCATTTCCTTCTCTAGCTCATTTTATTGATGAGGAAACTGAGGCAAAGAGGGCTAAGTGACTTGCCCAGGCTCACATGGCTAGTAAGTGCCTGAAGCCACATTTGAACTCAGGAAGATGGGTCTTCCTGACTCCAGACCCAGTACTCTGCACGATGGAGCTACCTAGCTGCATTAGGTGGGCACTCTCTTTCAAAAGCTGTGCAATTTGGCTTCTGGACTCAGTGTTGCACTGAAGCTGCTCTGACCTCTGAGTTGCCCAATCTAATGGCCTTTCCTCAGTCATCTCTCTGTTTGCCTTCTCTGTAGCCTTTGACACTATCGATCATGATCATCCCTGGGATATCTTTTCTCTCGAGGTTCTCCCCCTCCCTGCTGGCCTTCTCTGCAGCCTTCGATGCTATCAATCATGATCGTCCCTGGCATATCTTTTCTCTCGAGGTTCTCCTCCTGCCTGTTGGCCTTCTCTGAAGCCTTCAACACTATCGATCGTGATCGTCCCCGGGACATCTTTTCTCTCGAGGTTCTCCTCCTGCCTGTTGGCCTTCTCTGCAGCCTTCAACACTATCGATCATGATCGTCCCTGGGACATCTTTTCTCTTGAGGTTCTCCTCCTGCCTGTTGGCCTTCTCTGCAGCCTTCGATGCTATAGATCATGATCGTCCCTGGACTTCTTTTCTCTTGAGGTTCTCCTCCTGCCTGTTGGCCTTCTCTTTCTCAGTCTCCTTGGCTGGATCTTCAGCTGGGTCCCACTGCTACCCATGAGTGCCTCCCAAAGCTCTATCTTGGGTCTCTTCTCTTCTCCCTCTATACCAGGATCCCCGAATGGGGGAAGGGGTCCATGGATAGATTTCAGGGGTCTATGGAATGGGATAGGGAAAAAAAAACATTATTTTCACTAACCTCTAAATGAAACTTGGCATTTCCTTCAACTATGATTTTAAAAAAATTTATACTGAGAAAAGGTCCATAGGTTTCACTAGATTGCCAAAGGGATCCATGACACAAAAACATTAAGAATGTCGCTCTCCACTCTCTTGCTTGGTGATCTCATCCACTCCTATAGGTTCAACGATCATCTTTCTGCGGATGATTACCAGATCTCTGCTCAGGGCCTCAGTCTCTCTCTTGACTTCTACCCTCGCATCATCAGCTGCCTATTGGACATTTCAAACTGGATGTCCCGTAGACTTATTTTAAACTCAAGACATGCAGAACTGTACTTGTTATCTTTCCTCCCAGTGTCTCTCCTCTCCCCAAATGTCCTACTTCTGTTGAGGACATCATTATCTTCTCAGTTGCCCAGGTAGCCAATCTGGGTGCCATCCTCAACTTCATTGCCAAGCCCTGCCACAATCTCTCTTGTCCATACCCCCTTCTCTCTACTCAAAAGCCAGCAGCCTAGGACAGGCCCTCACTTTCACACCTGGATTATGCAATGGCCTTCTCTTCACTCTTCTTCCTCAAGTCTCTATCCGCTCATCCTCCACTAAGCCATCAAAGTGATCTTCCTGAAGTGCAAGCCTGACTATGCACGTGCACCCCTACTCAATATACCCCTGTGGCTCCCTATTACCTCTCAGATCAAATAAAAAAATCCTCTGTTGGGCTTTTAAAGGCTTTCACCACCTGGGCCCTATCTTTCCAGTGTTCTTATGCTTTATGTCCTGCCCACCCACTCTACAATACAGACATTGTTCCTTGAACATCACACCTTGTCTTCTGATATTGTGCCTTTTCTTTGTCTGTTCCCCCATACCTAGAGGGTTTTTCCTCCTCACCTCTGCCTCCTGACTCCCCTAGCATTCTTCAAAACTCAGCTAACATCCCATTTTCTACAGCAGGCCTTTCCTAGCCTCCCCTACCAACACGTCCCACTGTTAGGTCCTCCTTTCTGAGGCTAGCTTACATTTACATTGTATAAATATGTAATTATATATAATATAAATACATGTATATATACATGTATACACATATGTATATATGTATATGTGTACATATATACACACACACATATATACATATAGTCTCCCCTGTTAGAATATGAGCTCCTTGATGGCAGGAACTGTGTTTTTGTTTTTCAGTACATGGCCAGTGCTTAGCACACTGCCTGGGATGTAGAAAGTTCTTAATAAATGTTTGATTGATGGACTGACTTTCACAACTATGGCTGATATAGGACAAACACAAAAGATAAAATAGGTATTTTCAATTATAAGAATTTTAAAAGCATTTTCTCTAACAAAATAAATGTAACTAGGATAAGAGTGGGAGCTGTTAGGAGGCCAATTGAGGCCTGATGTCAAGAAAACCTCCTCAACAATCCTGGACAACCCCAGGTGGAAGGAGCTGCCTCAAGAGGTGGCTGATTTCTCCTCCTTGGAAGTCTTGGAGTAGAAGTGAGATGACAAGGAGCTGAGTATGGTCAAGTGAAGATTCCTTTTATATCTGGGTTGACTAGATGGCCACTACGGAAGGTCCCTTCCAACTCTCATATTGTGTGATCTTTGTGCTCTCTGACAGTAGAAGAAAGGGAAATGTGGATGAGGGAGAGATTAAATTTGTAGAAGGAAAATAACCATGGGAAGTCACAGGAAAGGGTGGGATCCAGAGCAGAGGTGGAAGTGTTAACATCCAAAAGAAGACATGCTTCTTTCCAACACAAAATACATATCCAGTGTATCATTTTCTACAACAAAAACACATTTATTCAAAATTTTCCTAGTAGAAGTCAACATTCTTAACAGATAAACCAAAGCCAAAGTTTTAGTTGGGAGTCTAGACAAGAATCTGACTCACACCCACTCTGTAGTTGCCTTCTTGAGAAAAGTTTCATTGGAAGGTCAGTAAGAGTTGAAGAACAATGTACTCCACAGAATGTACAGCCTATAGAAAGGAATGCTCATACAAAATTTATCTAATATCATGAAATCATAGCTTTAAAATCTATAAAATGAATTGTGGCACCAGTGTGGTATGTAAAGTCCATCAGAATTTTGGATATGCTTCCTCTCGCAATCTGTGATAAAATTATGCAAAAGGCAATTCAAACTGTAATGACAATAAGTTTTATTCTAGACACAAATTCTGCCATTGTAAAAATCTAGTTTCTTTTTTTTTTTTTTGGTGACTAGAATGCTGGGCCTAGAATTAGAAGTCTTGAGTTCAAATCCAGCCTCAGTTAATTCATTAGCTGTGTAACCCTGGGCAAGTCACTTAACCTCTGTTTGCTTCAGTTTCCTCAACTCCAAGATGAGGATAACAGCACCTACCTCTCAGGGTTGTTGTAAGGAATAAATGACATATAGTAGAAGCAATATGCATGCTTATTTTCTTCCCTTCCCTTCCCTGGAGAGAAACATGAGGGGAGAGATGTCAGAAAAATGACACTGGAAGTAAAAGTGAAGTGAAAGATGAGGTTACTGGGAGGGAGTTGGACAGTGACAGCTCTTCTCCATGGGGCTGCTGACCCTTAAGGATATCTCTCTGTCTGACATTTCAAAGATAACCAGCTGAGCGTCTGCTTACAAAACTTCCATCTGGCTGGGTTTTACTCACCCAGATGAGTGCTTCTTAGGACTTGTGCTCTGAACCATGGTGCTCCTCTTTGCTCCAACTGGGAGATCACGTCTGGTTTGGAAATTGGAAGCCCTAATCATGGAGAAATAATGGTGCTGTGCTAAAGACAGAGACATCGCAGAATTCGGTCTTACCCACTTTCTATTTAGGGAATTGAAGGAATCCTAGGAAGACCCCAAGGGTAGTATCACAAACCTGAGAATGACTGTCTGCACTATGATTCTATCATGTGTGGGGGTATGTCCAAGAGTTTGACTTTGGCTCAGAGAAAATTCTTTTGTCTTAACATGCTTCCTGATAAGAAGAAGAAGAAGAAGAAAAGTTTTCATGTGTTCGAGGACTTGTACTGAGTTGCAAATGGAGAATCTTTGATCTAGATGGACAGGTGGGAAGTTTTAGCATTAGGAGCAGCACAAACATTTTGACCCTAATGCAGGGCTGTAAACTTCCAGTAGTACAAAGCAAAGACCCTTCATACAGAAAGAGGGCATAGAAACTCTTATCTCTTGGAATCAAAGGACTAGGAATCTTTTCATCTTGCATCTCTTCATGAGAATAGACCTACATGCCAAGTTGAAATTCACACATGATAAACACAGCAGGACCCAGATGATTCAGGAGAGAAAAGCCATCCTTACCCAGGGACACAAAGTTCTCATAGTTCTCCAGCATCACGTCCCTGTACAGGTCTTTCTGAGCAGGCTCCAACTGTCTCCACTCTTCCTGGGTGAAGTCAATGGCCACATCTTGGAATGTCAGCAATTTCTGAAAGATCAGAATATGCCTTTGCACACCTAGGACCCATCCCTAGCACTGAACTAGAGGGGGACATGAAACTGGCAGAATGTGGAGGGAATGGTTATCATAGGGAAGGGAGAAGGCAGTAAGCATTTTATACAGCACCTACTTTATGCCAGGCCTCATGCTAAGTACTTTTACTAATCTTATCTCATTTAATCCTCATAACAACCCTGGGAGGTAAGTGCTATTAGAATTCCCATTTTACCATTTTGAGGAAACTGAGGCAAAGAATTGCCCAGGGTCACACAGCTAGTAAGTGTTGAATATGGATTTGAACTCAGATCTTCCTTACTCTAGAACCAATGCTTTATCTGCTGTACCACCTTGATGCTTCATAACAATAAAGGTCTGGGGGCAGAGCCAAAATGGCGGCATGAAAGCAGTGACTTGCTTGAGCTCTCCCCCAAACCCCTCCAAATACCTGTAAAAAAAGTGGCTCTAAACAAATTCTAAAGCAGCAGAACCCACAAAAAGACAGAGTGAAACAAATTTCCAGACCAAGACAACCTGGATGGTTGATTGGAAAGGTATATTGCACCAAGCGGGGAGAGGAACGCAGTTCGGCATGGGCACACAGGCCACAGCAAACCTGGAGCAGGCCTCAGAGGACTGAATCGCAGGCAGCTGTGGTGGTTTCCAGACTTCTCAACCCATGAACACCAAAGACAACTTAGAAGGTCAGTGGGAAAAGTCTGCAGTGAGAGTTAGAAGCTAGGTCTTGGTCACAAGTCCTGAGAGCAGCCCAGGGCAGCGGCTGCCTCCTGAGCTTCCAGCCCACAGACTGAGGGGGAATTGAGTGACTGATAAGAGGGGGATTGCAGGGATCTCTTTGCCAGTGCTGAGGCAGGAATCTCTTGCTTTGCCCGTGCTTGGATCTGGGTCACAGTTCTGAGGGGCGGTCCTGAGGCGAGGAGGAGCACTAGTGTGGTGAAGCTTGTTGTGGTGGTGAAGAGGAAACACCTTGCCCCTTATCATACCACCTTGGAAGAAGTAAAAATTTACAGGTCTCTAGAAGTATCTCGGAAAACAGTTGTACAAACCCCCGAAGCTTGGAACAGTACATTCTCCACATTGGAAGCAGACTTTACCTTAACAAAGAGTTTAAAACTCAAATAATTGGCTGGAATCATGAGTAAGTAGCCCAAAAAGAGTCAGACTATATTATCTTACTTTGGTGACAAAGAAGATCAAAACATATAACCAGAAGAAGACAACAAAGTCAATGCTCCTACATCCAAAGCCTCCAAGAAAAATATGAATCAATCCCAGGCCTTGGGAGAGCTCAAAAGGGACTTTGAGAAGCAAGTAAGAGAAGTAGAGGAAAAACTGGGAAGACAAATGAGAGTGATACAAGAAAATCATGAAAAACAAGTCAACAGCTTGCTAAAGGAGACCCAAAAAAATAATGAAGAAAATAACACCTTAAAAAATAGCCTAACCCAAATGGCAAAAGAGGTCCAAAAAGTCAATGAGGAGAAGAATGCCCTAAAAAGCAAAACTGGTCAAATGGAAAAGGAAGTCCAAAAGATTACTGAAAAAATTACTTCCTTAAAAATTAGAATAGAGCAATTGGAAGCTAGTGACTTTATGAGAAATCAAGACACTGTAAAACAAACCCAAAAGAATGAAAAATTAGAAAACAATGTGAAATATCTCAATGGAAAAACAACTGACTTGGAAAATAGATCCAGGAGAGAGAATTTAAAAATAGCTGGACTATTTGAAAGCCATGTTCAAAAAAAAGGGCCTCAACATCATCTTTCAAGAAATTATCAAGGAAAGTTGCCCTGATATTTTAGAACCAGAGGGCAAAATAGAAATTGAAAGAATCCACCAATCTCCTGAAAGAGACCCCCAAAGGAAAACTCCTAGGAATATTGTGGCCAAATTCCAAAGTTCCCAGGTCAAGGAGAAAATATTACAAGCAGCCAGAAAGAAACAATTCAAGTATTGTGGAAACACAATCAGGATAACACAAGATTTAGCAGCTTCTACATTAAGGGACCCTAGGGCATGGAATATAATATTTCGGAGGGCAAAGGAGACAGGATTACAACCAAGAATCACCTACCCAGCAAAACTAAGTACAATCCTTCACAGGAAAAAATGGTCATTCAGTGAAATAGAGGACTTTCAAGCATTCTTGATGAAAACACCAGAGCTGAATAGAAAATCTGACTTTCAAATACAAGACTCAAGTGGAACATGGAGAGGTAAATAGGAAAGATAAATCATAAGAGACTTATTAAGGTTGAACTGTTTACATTCCTGCATGGAAAGATGATATTTGTAACTCATGAGACCTTTGTCAGTATGAGGGTAGTTGGAGGGAAAAAAATTATATGTATGTATAGATAGATAGATAGATAGAGGGCACAGGGTGAGTTGAAGATGAAGGGGTCATATCTGGACAATAAAATTAAGGGGTGAGAGAGGATTATACTAGAAGGAGAAAGGGAGAGGTAGAATGGGGTAAATTATCTCACAAAAAACAGAAAAGAAAAGGCTCTTACAGTGGAGGGGAAACAGGGGAAGGTGAGAGGGAATGAGTGAATCTTATTCTCATAGGATTTGACTTAAGGAGGGAATAACATACACACTCAATTGGGTATGAAAATCTGTCTTACCCTACAGGAAAATGGGGGGGGGAAAGGGGACAAGAGAGTAGGGGGATGATAGAGGGAGGGCAGATTGGGAGAGGGAGTAATCAGAAGCAAATACTTCTGAGGAGGGACAGGGTCAAAAGAAACAATAGAATAAATGGGGGGGGCCAGATAGAATTAAGGGAAATAGAGTTAGTTTTTCACAGTATGTCTACTATGGAAGTGTTTTGCATAACTGCACATGTATAACATGTATTGTGTTGCTTGCCTTTTCAATGAGGGTGGATAGGGAGGAAGGGAGAAAATTTGGAACCCAAAGTTTTAAAAGCACATGTTTAAAAAAAATGTTTTCACATGCAACTGGGAAATAAGAAATACAGGAAACAGGCTACAGAAATCTATCCTGCCCTCCAGGAAATTAGAAGGGGAAGGGGATAAGAGAAGGAGGGGAGAGATAGAATGGAGGGCAGACTAGGGGAAGGGGTATTCAGAATGTACACCATCTTGGGGTGGGGGGAGGGGTGAGATGTGGTGAGAATTTGGAACTCAAAATCTTGTGGAAGTAAATGTTGAAAACTAAAAATAAATAAATTTATTTAAAAAAAAACCAATGAAGGTCTGGAGTATTACTAGATTTTATAATGTATTAATAATTCTACCACTATAAATTCAAGGGTAATGGAAGAAAAGCCTCTTACCACACTATACTTTGATGAAGTACTAGAAATGCCAGCTATAGCAATAAAATAAGAAAACAAAATTAAAGTATTGAATTCAGTGAAGAGGAGACCAAATTATCTGTATTTTCAGATGACGTTGTTGTTCAGTCGTTTCCAGTCCTGTCCAACTCTTTCCTGAAGTGGTTTGCCATTTGATTCTCCAGCTCATTTTACAGAAAAGGAAACTGAGGAAGATAGGGTTAAGTGACTTTTCCAGAGTCACACAGCTAGTAAATGTCTGGGACCACATTTGAACTCAGGTCTCTCTGACTTGAGGCCTGGCACTCTCTCTGCTGCACCACTTAGCTGCTCCATTTTTCAGATGTGATGGTTTATTTAATAAAGCAATCAAAGCATCAGCAAAGAAACTAAATGAGATTATTAATAGCTTCAGTGAAATAGCAAGATACAAAATAAATCCACAAAAATTAGTACTTCTATTCAATATTAATAGAAACCACAGAAAATTTTTCATTCAAAATAATTTTAATACACATAAGATAACCGGGAATTAACCTGCCAAGACATATAAAGGACTTTTTTAACTATAACTACAAAAGATTAAGATAAATCATAGCTACATCAACAGAGTATTAGTGTGCCTGCCTTGCCACGGTCCCTTCAACATAAGTTATTCTTGCCTTTTACAATCTTTACAAATAAAGACTATAAAAGACAGAGATAGTCACTGTTGGTGGAGCTCAGGAAAGACAAGCACATTAGCACTAACGGTAGAGCTGTGAATTGGTGCAACCATTCTGGAAAATAATTTAGCATTATGCAAAAAAAAGTCATCAAATTATTCATACCCTTTGACCCCAGAGATCCCACTCCGGGGCAAGTATCCAAAGGAAATTAAAGAATGAAAAAAAAGCTTCACACATACCACAATATTCATAGTAGCATTTTTTTGGTAGCAAAAAAACTAGAATGTTTGGAAAAGGGTGTGAATTAAATATAAAATATATTTTAAAAGCATATTAAAATGTTATTAAATATATTCATCTGTATTGTTGAATATTTAAGATAATATTAAAGCATATTTAAAATAAATTGATTGATAGACAAATTTGATTATGAAATCCTCTTTACAGAAATAAAGGAAGACTTAGATCATTGGAAAGCTACATAGGGACATATTGGTATAAGAAAAATTGATGACCTTATCTAAATTAATCATATATTTAGTATATTACATACCAGTCTTCCAAGGTATTACTTTTTAGAACTAGACAAAATAGCAAAAAGAGCAAAAGGTCATGCATTTCAAGGGAAATACTTTTTTTAAATGGAATGAAGAGGGTTAACATTACTAAATCTGAAATTATATGATAAAATTAGCTGGCAAAACTATTTGGTAATGGTTATGAAACAGAAAAGTAGATCAGTGGAACAGTCAAGTAAGACCTAGAAACAAATAAAAATAGAACCCGATGGTAGATAAACCCCCAAACTTCAACTGAGAGGAAACTTTAGAGCTTGATTTTCAGACCCATTCGTCTTTTGGTTTTTGTTCAGAAAATGAAATCCTTCATAGAGATGAATGTGATTTTCCTGACTTCCCTTAAACAGAGACTCAGGTGGGCAGTTCTCCTCCCCACTGCCCAAACGAACTCATCCAATACTGATCCTGAATGCTAAC